AGGGAAATGGCTCAGACATTTCTAAAAATGAGTACAAGGAGAAAAAAAAATTCACAGGGAAATAACAGGTATTGCTCACCTCAAAAAGGTTTGTAACCGTTTAGTTTAGGAGCATGTCCTGCTTCAGACTGAGGGCTTGATCTTTGAGCCTCACTAGCGTCAGAGATGTGGGGGTTTGCCATCCTGTGGAAACTCAGCTAAACTGGATGAACACAGAAGACTCAAAACCTGTACTTCACACATGCTTTTTTCACATTTGTTCACGTGGTTAAATTATCTTGAGACGATCTGCAGCTCTCACACCTATCAGAAGGTACGTGCCTCCTTCCCACAGAAGGACAGAGCCAATGCCTAGGTTGGGATGTGATTACCCATTCAATTCCTTCTGCTAGTGCAGGGCTGGGAAGAAACATCATCAGAGATTTCCTCAGCATGTACTGCCAGGGAAAGGAGGAGGTAGGAAGCAGAATAGAATAGACTATTTTTCAGTTGGAAGTGACCTACAATGATCATCTAGCCCAACTGCCTGACCAATCCAGGGCTGGCCAAAAGTTAAAGCATGTTATTAAGGGCATTGTCCAAATGCCTCTTAAACACTGACAGGCCTGGGGCATCAACCACCTCTCTAGGAAGCCTGTTCCAGTGTTTGACCACCCTCTCTGTAAAGAAATGCTTCCTAATATCCAGTTGGAACCTCCCCTGGTGCAGCTTTGAACCATTCCCATGCGTCCTATCACTGGATCCCAGGGAGAAGAGATCAGCACTCCCCCTTCTCAGGAAGCTGTAGAGAGCAATGAGGTCGCCTCTCAGCCTCTTTTCTCTAAATGAGACAAACCCAGATACCTCAGCTGCTCCTCACAGGACATTCCTTCCAGCCCTTTCACCAGCTTTGTAGCCCTCCTCCGGATGCATTCAAGGACCTTCACATCCTTAAATTGCGGGGCCCAGAACTGCACGCAGTATTTGAGGTGAGGCTGCCCCAGCGCTGAATGCAGTGGGATAATCCCCTCTTTTGACCAGCTGGTTAGGCTGTGTTTGATGCACCCCCGGACGGGGTTTGCCCTCTTGGCTCCAGGGCACACTGCTGACTGCTACTGAGCCTGCTGCTGGCCAGCACCCCCAGATCCCTTTCTGCAGGGCTGCTCTGCAGCTGCTTCTCTCCCAATTTATACTTGTGCCTGGTGTTACTCTGTCCTAGGTGCAGAATCCAGCACTTGTTCTTATTAAATTCCGTGCCACTGATGATTGCCTGATGCTCCAATCTATCTAAATGCTTCTGCAAGGCCTCTTGTCCTTTGAGAGAGTCAACAGCACCTCCCAGTTTGGTATCATCAGCAAACTTGCTAATGGTGCATTCAACTTCTGCAGATTGTTGATAAAAATATTGAACAGAACTGGTAGCTGTGAGGAACATTACTAGTGTTCATATTGCATTTGTAGCTGGTAATTCTTTTATAGCCAAATGGATCCATAATACCCTATTCTAATTCCCAACTGCACAGAAATTTCTGTTCTATATGTCTGCTGCAATTGCCTTGCTCTGGTTTGCTCTCCTTGTGAGAAGGAGGTAGAAGACCGAAACCTTGTTACCCCTGGTTTTATGAAGCGGTTGTATTATGAGTTGATGTCTGTGGTGTCTAAATACAGGCTTGGAATCGGTACCGGAATAACCTTGGTAACATACATTCTTTCTATGTTCTCACTTAAAAAAAAGCGTAAGTTGGGGGCAATACAGAATACTGCTGTTCTGAGTATTGTCGTGTTTTAAACTACTGGCTCTGTGAGCCTGTCCTCACTTCTCAGCCTCTTTGTATAGCTAGGCTGAATATGCTCCCCTTCTTGTGGGTGCTGAGTATGGACTTAGGCTTTTACTGCCATTTCAGCATTAGAATCTGGAATAAAGAGATTTTCTTGTTTTCAGTGCTAATGTTTGCTGTGCTGTATACACATATATGTCTGTGTGTATATACCTATACATAAATGCATATACATACATATATAAGGTTAGCAGTTATCATTTTACATACTGGTTGTGACTGTCACTTGACAGCTAAACCAACTGGTAGAAAAAGAAATATAATCCAGTTTAAAGAGTAATATTAAACAGTGCAAACCATGATGCTGCCTTCTTAGAGTCCCCTGCTCTTCTATTTAAAAGTTTCTAACTTCTGAAATGACTGGATCACAACAGTTGTCTTCTCTATGTAACTTCAGTTCTTGTTTAGAGACACTATCCTAGGAGCATGGGTTTTTTCAGAAAAATGTTATCATGTAAATTAAACTGTAGTAATGCCTGTCCCCAAAGGAATTACAAAGAAATTGCACTTGAAAAGTTTGGTTTTGCAAATTAAATACTTTTGCATATTTTTTAAAACTATATCACAATATTAAAAAAAATTATTGAAGAACTAGGAGTCTTTTAATTTTACAAGTAGGATTTTATAATGAGAACCATTGCTGATACTGAGGCTTCTTATGCTTTTGAATCCACAACAGAGCTCTATAAATGTCACTTTCTGATGCTATTACTTCCTTGTTTCATGCTGCTGTCTAGAACGTAGACTAACATAACTTGGCCTTCATGGCATGGTGCTGTTTTTCTGTATGTGGAAGAGCTACAAACTTACAAAAAGATCTTTAAAGATGCAGTGCACATTTCCAGTGTATCCAAGTTCTGTGTTGACTATGACTTCCTAAGAAGAAACTGTGCAATATTCTGCTGTTATACTTGCAATATATTTCCTGTAAATTTGGCTGCTTTATGTTTCTGTATGTCAAACACTTGATATTAACTGTGGTTTTTAGTTTATGAAGTTTATAAAAAGCTACATAATTAGTAACTGACTCCAGATATTGACTTAATGATAGCATATATTATTTCTGCCCTAATCTGGAGATTTCCTTTATGGAAGTATGTATATGTGGAACATGCCTTTGCAAGGTGTGATCACTGATGCGCACAATGATTTAGGGAGAAAAATTATATCTATTACACGCATCTATAGCGGACTAAGATTCTTCAAACCCTCTCTCGCTTATACTTTTCCTGCTTTCCATTTAGCTCTTCTCTATATTGCTGATTTTTTTATTAAGCTGAAGGTGAGGCTGTCAGGAAAACTAAGTGGTTACGTCAGACTCTTAGGGGAGATAAGTAATCTGTCTTTCTGAAGAGTAAAATTTTTGAAAGTACCAAACAGACTCTAAGATTCCCAGCTCCCCGTTTCAAAAGTGACTCTGACTTCTAAGTTGCACTGCCTCGCTGCGATGCTTGTGCTACTAAATGTGCTCATTTTATAAGTTTGTTTCTTTGAAAGTTTTCTGATCTTCGGGACTGTAACGTCTGCTGAACAGTGCAATCTTGAATAAATAAAGCTTTGGATTCTTGGGGAATAGAACAACAATGCCTTCACTGTTTGCTCAGTGCATACCTTCTTTTCGCCCCCCTCCCTCCCCTCCCGGCCCTAATGTTTTGTGCCGTGGAGCTGAGCTGCAGGCAAGTGCCGCGCCGGGGCATATCGTCAGCGCTCTGCCACTGTCTGCGGGGGACAATGGCTGCAGTGTCGCCAGGGCCTACACAGGGGCAGTCGATGGCGTTTCTCTGGAATTGCAGTGGTGTATGGCATCTGCTGAAATCTGTAGGACTGGCAAATGCAAAAATTCCTTTAAGCTGCCAGGCCTCTGTAAATGCCGTGTTGTGGCCTCATTGATAGATGCCACAAATAGCAGAACAGTCATGACGGAGTCGGTTCAAACCGGGAGACTGCATGCCATTCATGTTCAAATTTTAACTGCGGAAAGAAAGTCTCGTCTTCCTCACCCCTGAGTATGTGTTGTGAGCCGTCTGCTCTGAAACTTTGTCCGCTGTCAGCTGCTGTCTCCAGTACCACAAATCTTTTCCCTAAAACCTGGAGCACAGAAGTAGGGCCTGGGCCTGCTTTTCATTACCAGCACTAGGGAGATCTGGGATGCCCTTGTTGATGTTCCTGGTTCCAGTTACAAGAAGAACAGATAGAACTTCAGGACTAATTGCCATTTGCTTAAGCTGTAGTAATACTGAGCTGCAGCAAGCAGCCTTTTTAAGAGTGTGTTAAAATGATGATCAGTCTTCGATTACTATTACAATGTAGCAGACTACAGTATTGAAACTAACGTCAAATAAAAATGTGGTCTTTGTTATTTTTTTCTTTGTTACTGACTTCCACAGCTATTGCTTTTAGGAAGAATAAACTTCTTCAAGAGTGGGGTTTTCTTTGGGGTTACCTAATGGATTTGTTGGGTACTGAGAGAGTTCATAGATCCACAATAAAAGGCAGCCCTCATTTCTTATTTTCTGCCCCTCAAAACCTCTGCAGTATAGACAGCTAGACATGTTGCTTATGTTCTGCTTACACTTGTATGCTACTTCTGTTGGTCCGATCACTGACTTTTAGTGGTCTACTTGTTCTTTTTTTCCTTCGAAGATGATGATGTGCCTCATTTTTCTTGGGAGTTCGTATCATGTGATTCATAAAAGTCTTTGAGATGTACACCAAAATGCTAGACATGCAGGTTAACAGAAATTAACGCTGTAGGAAGTATATTAATTTTTAGAAGATAATAATATAGAAAAAGTTGGCTCACATGAAGAAGTCTTCTGTTATTTTAAAAATAAAAATCCAGAAAAAAATAAGAACTATTTAGTGACACTTAATGGTACAAAATATGTAAATCAGTTTCGATACTGAATTTTCCTTGTGCGTTCAGGTAAATTTTTTTTATTAATTGAAAAAAATTGAAATGTCTTTATTGTTGTCAGTGATATGTGTAGCTTTCAAAATATGATGAGCAGTGTATCATAAGAAAGCTACAGCTTTATAGTCTATTTTATTGATATTTTAAATTTTCCTGACTAATATCATTGAATAACAGTACCCGTAATTAAGGACTTTACTGATTTACTGATAGTACTTTTCTCTTTTTTTCTTATTTTTTCTTCTTTTCTTTTCTTTTTTTTTTTCCAGAAAAGAGCAAAAGGCCAAGTGCTGTTTGACAAAGTGTGTGAACATCTCAATTTACTGGAAAAGGACTATTTTGGGCTGTTGTTTTATGAGAATTCAGATCAGAAGGTAAGCCTGTATGAGGGTTTTGTTAGTTTGTTTTTCTACATTGCTACTGACTTCAACAGTTTAGTGAGGTATATAGTATTAAATGTATACCATTACAAATATTTGAGTAAACTGTTGCAAAATGTCAATTCTAGTCTGCTGTAAACTTGCAACATGTGCAAGATACAGATGTGTATGTTGATACCTAACAAAGTGCCCATTTATTATTTAGAGTGAGGGCATATTTAAAATATCTGTATTTTTGAGAAAAGCAATTGAGTAACTGATAGGCTTTATAGTAAAACAGTAAAATAGTACACTAAAACAGTATGCCAGCCTTGCACATGAAGATAGGAAATTTTAACTAATATCTTTGCCTTAACAGTCTGAAAACTGCCCACATTTCTGAAAACTTTAATTATTTACATTTTTTTCTAAAAACAAGAAAACAAAACTTTGGGTGATAAATAATTCAAAAAAATTAATCTTCTACCTGACTTTCCAGTAATTTTGCGGCCTTTTCTCATGTATGTTTAATAATGCTTGGAACAGGAACATGAAGGAAATCTTGCCCCTAAGTCTGTAACTATTAGACTTTTGAGTTCCTTTATTATTAATTTTAAACTTAAAGAAAATTTTGGCATTTGTGAAGATGAGACTGGAGCTTGCCCATCACCAGTATTGGGTGCTAATTTTACAAATGAATGGTGTTTTGATATGACTACATTCAAAACTATCTCTTAAATACCATTTGGTAACTTATTTTCAGTCCTCTTTTGCACTTGCTTACATGTTGGATGGTTGAGCACATCTAGATTGCTGAGCTGAGGAAAACTTGAATCAGTTGGTGGCATGCATTCTGCTAATTACCAAAAGCCCGTTTAGCTTTTCCTAGCATCTGAACATTTACAGTTAGTTATGAGCCAGCTGTCGCTTTGTCCATGAACTAAAGATATACCTGAGGGAGGTCATATTTTCCCTCATGAACAAAACAGACTAATAATTACAAATTGAAGTGCAAAAAATTGTATTTCTTTTAAATCTCTGTATTTGTAGCAGGAAACATCATTACAGGAGTCTAGAAGCTTTTCCATTTTTTTTGTCCTCTTTCTCATCCTACTACTGTGTTTGAAATGAAGTCTAATTTAGTAGTCTGATTAAATCTGAATTTCTGACAACTTCCATTCAAATACAGTTGTTTCTGCGAGGCTTTCTCTGCAGCATTGAGCAAAATACTCAATCTCTCTATATTAAAGATCCCCATATATAAAATGGGCTTGGTGTATTCTTACTTCGATATTTTATTTTTGTTCTTGATTTGTAAACCATTTATAGAAATGAGAACTTCTTTGGTGTAACAATGAAGAGCATCTCAGTTGATTCTCTGAATACTATCATAATCTTAATTATTATTTATTATTATCACGTTATCCCTTTATTTGTGCTACTCACTATTGAAAATCTATACTGTACACACAGAGCAAAATAACATAAAAAACCAGTCTGATCTCTGGCAAGAGAGGAAAGAGCTAATAGCAGACCTGGGATCCTTGAACTACACCAGGAAATAGCCCACTTCAGTAGATCCTGGGAATTGGAATAGGGAGCCTTTGGCTTTTAAAAGTAGAGCAGGAAAGTCTGGATTGGTGTAGAGTTGTGTCTTTTTTAATTTCATTTTATTTTATTTTATTGTATTGTATTTTATAATGTGCTTCTAGTTGGACTGAGAGATTTCTTGGTATTCCTCAGTCATGTGAATGGAGGAACAGAGTACCACACCTTTAAAAGATCCCATCTGTTTTTTCATATGTCTTTATCCTTGGAGATATTAAAAACTTGACTGGATATGAGCCTGGGCAACCTGATCTAATTCAAAGCTGACTCTGCCTTGAATCACAGTTGGACCAGTTATCTCCAGAAGTCCCTTTCAGCCTGAATGAGTCCTTGAGCTCCCTGTCCATTGACTATGGAGGTGCTACTGTAGCAACACTCATAAATGAAGTATTTACATTAATTAAGCAAGAAATATCTGGATAATGGAGTCCCTGTGGTTTGATTATATATATGCCCAGACTAAGTCTAGCACTTTATTCAAAAGAAGAGTAGAGCACTTGTCACCTGAATTATGGACAGCAGCAGGCTTTTATTTAAAAACTTCTGGAGAAATCTGGTCCAATTTGTTATGAAGACTAAAAAAACCAGAGTTGTTGGATTTTGTCATCTTCATGAAAGTAAGTTCATAGTGTTATTTGGAGAAACTTAAAAAGGAGTCTTGCCTAGCAGATTTGCATTTCCCACCTCCTACTTTCTATTGCAGGATTAAGCTTAATTTATGGTGAACTGCGGGAACTACAAAATTTTGAATGCCAGCAAGTAACAGTGAAGGAGGGGGTTTAGATATTTTCTGGCTGGATAGCCCATATGCTCTAGATTGTACCCAAAGTGCCATTATGTGGATGGTACTATGCCTCTGGTGCAGCTCTAAGTTGTGATTACCAGGTGAGTGGGAATACCTGGAATAGTCAAAGAAGAATTTGAAAACGTGGGCTTTGGCATGAATTAATCACTTGGCTAAGTGCTTACAGTCTTTTATGGGTTGGACAGTCTGTACTCTAACGTGCACATTTATATAGGCTTGCTTATTTTTACTGCTATTGTCATTCAAGTTACCTAATTCGAAGCTACCACTTTTGTACAACACTGTGTTTGGTGGTTCTTACACCAGTTATGGCACAAACTTAATGTGAAGGGTAGCTACTGTAGTGTCTTAATACAGCAAAATTACTGGTTGTGTGCTGAGAAAGTTGCCCCTCCCCAACTGCCATTTCTTTCATGCTGGTAAGATTGGAATTGTATAGCTACACAGAATGTGGTCAGTAAGAGTGTAGCACTCATTTTTGTTATTAAAGGGATTTTTTAAATACATGGATGAAGACCATTTAAATTGCTTTCAGTATGTTAAATATTTGTGGTGTGTTTTTAATGAATATTTCTGTCTTAAGACTTTTAAGTGTCTCAACTTTTTTTCATTCTTCTAAAAAAAAGAAAAAAACATTTAACATTTTATGTATTGATTTAATTAATAGATGGAAGTGTGGGGGGCTGATCAGTTGTGTTCAGGAACGGCTGCCAAAGAAAGCTTGGGGACTTGGAACTTTTACTGGGTTTAGGGTCTTCTCTTTTGTTCACCTCTGTAGTAAGTTTGAATTCTTTTTTCATCTCAGTACCAGTTCTTTCTGATGCATTTTTTTCTCCTGTTATGACTGTTGCCTCTTCAGATTAAAATGCCACAAATCTCTGACCTCCAGGGCAGTCAGTACTAAATGCTGAATGAGTGTTTTTCTCATTCTTGTGCACTCATCACAGCCAGCCATTTATGAGCCAGCTGTGGAACTTGACAGCAGCTGTGGGGTGTGGAAACTGAATGCCAGGCACTCTTTTGAATTAGAGCTGCTCCCTAATGCACCATCAGGGTACCATTGGAGGAGTCGTCCCATTAACTTTTCTATATGGGTGTTCTGTGCAGCTGAGAGAGATGTTATGTCTTCAAATCAGACTGATTTTTGTTAGCTTTAATACACATTTTAAAACTATTTAGGTCAAATTACTCATTAATGATTTCTTTCGTTGTTTTGCAAATGTTAAATTTATTGGTCTAAAGTTTAGTTAGTGATTTCATTGCATTACACCCTCAAAAGTTCATGAATGCTCCATTCACCCTGTAATTGGCCTGCAGAAGTGTTAGAAAGCTTCTGCTCTTATGTTCTGGGCACCAGCTGGAAATGCTGCTTTTCTGGATTTGTACAAAATAACTTTTGTACTGGTAGAGAACATTTTGTTGTTCTTTGACAATTCATTACTTTGTCTTACCATTCACAAATCAAACAAATAGATTTCTGCCTACTGGAGCAAAGTAGTGTGCATACACTTTGTCTTTTGTTTTGAAAGACAGACCTGTCTATTCTGCATTAAGAGGTCTATTTCAGGGTAGATTCTTTCAATAGTGTTTGTTTTATCCATAACAAATGGCACAGATGCAAAAACCCCACCCCTGTAATTATGCATATATATGGAATATAAGCATCTGATTTTATTTGACAGAACAGTAATGAAAGTTGGTGGCAAAGTCTGCTTCCAATAAACTTACTTCAGGTTTGGAAAATCAGAAAATGAACTGTATAACTTCTGTAAAGAAAGGATTATTCTTCTCATCCTGCAGCATATTCTGTATTATATGCTCTTTTCTCCTACTTTATAGAGATAAAAGATAAAGCACTGAAATTAACATATGCTCAGGAATCCTAGTTTTCTGCTATAGTTATGCCATGCTATATTCTATACTTATTTACTTTATTTACTTTATACTGTACGTTTTCTAAAATTTAAGAGTTTAAGCTACTTCTGGTGATATTTGTAATTAGAATATGGCTGTGTATCATTTTGGAATGGAATTCCTGCCAAAACTGAAAACCAAGGATGATAACTGTAGCTGAAGTGATTCTCAGCTAAAATTATTTGAAGCCTTCTGTTGCCTTCCAAGGCCTTTCCATGTCAAGGCTCTTCCAACAAATAGCAGTTTTTCTGACTTAAGCAGAATAAATGGTATCCAGATTTTCTGGAGGAGTGTTTTATATCTATTCCTTTGTAACGGTGTTATGGACTGTGCATCTCTGGAAGAATTATAGTAGCTATGAAATGTAGAGGTTGCAGACTTCTTAAAGCAAGAAATGTGAAATTATTCCTTTTTTTTAATTACATCTGTAAAAATGGTAAAAAGTGGGTTTTGCATTTAATTTGTAAACAGTATTTGTCTAATATATACATGCTGCATTTGTCATGAAATCAACTTGGAGCAAGGTCATTTACAACATGGAGCTTAGTATTCATAGAAGCCACATCCTTTATCAGCAGAGGTAATCTACATTAAGGATTTGCACCAGTGCAAAAACATACAGTTCCACATTCTCCTAATCCATACAGTCCCGTAGAACTGTAGCCTAGCATGTTTTGTCTCCTTGAAGTTAATTTGACTTTGGGTGGAAAAGCCTGTAATAAAGACTGAGGGATATGGTATTGGAAAACAATTGTTGATTCTGGAGTTTGGTACCATAGACTGAAAGGTGAGTCACATTATACCCAGTATCCACTACTTGACTAGGTTAGGCAAGAAACATTGGTAGAGATACGCCTTTAGCAACATTTGTGCTGATGCTGAGGTCCCCTCTGACTTTAAAGCTGCTAATATGTACAGTGGTTTGTGAAAATGAAAATGTTGTCCTTGACCTTACAAGTCAGTTGCTAATTCTTCCCTACATTGCACATCTCTGTCTTTGAAATGTGCTAAGTCCTGCTGGCAGGCTGGTTGTGTGCATGTGTGTTTCTTCCATGTATATGCTTGTGTATGCGTGTCTGGCCCTGGGAAATAAAGGTTCAAACACTGTATAAAGTAAATTCTCAGTAACTGTAACTGCATTTAAAAGGCTTATGTTTCTAGTCTCTCACTCAATCTATTTTCTAACATCTATGGGTAAAATTATTAAACAGGATTGTCTGACTTACTGATGAATAAATGTTACTGATTTCTTAGTCTCACTTCCCAAAGTTGTATATTTGGACGATCAGTCACAAAAAAAATCTCTTTCCCCATATTGATAGTAACTGAAATGCTACGAGCTATTTAATAGGTTTCACAGATTATATAAAAATATTTTTGGTATTGAGGATAGAACACATTTAATAGTGAGGCATCTAAATATGAAAAACTGACTTTATTTGCATTGTCTAAAATAGAGCTGAGTATCTAGACTTGAACCTTGCCAGTGTATCAGTGTTAACATAATACATGTTCATAGAGAACTTTGCCTTGGGGGAGGTCAGAAAAAAAGCATGGAATTTGATTAGGTTTTTCCAAGCACCTTTGAATGTTATCAGAACTAAAATGTATACACCTTAAGACAAACGATGGGAATAATAAGTCTCTGGAGATCAAGAGAAATATCATCTTAAGTATGACTCTACATAGGTGTGTAAGCACAGATGTGTAGAGATTACATAGCCATTCCTGAAAAGTCTGCTTATGTCAATAAAAGGAGTATGAGAGAAAATTGCATTTGTCAAATGTAATTTGCTAGACCACCTCTACTGTAAGACTATCCACTCTTTAAAATTAAAGGGTATAAATAGTCTAAAGCAGTAAGACAACCATGAAGGGAGTGGCATTATGCAGTTTCATTTATGTGCTCGGGTGGGGAGACTTGCTAGCAAATCGCAAGTTCAATTTTAGAATTCTCTGGGTTATTTAAAAATAGAACAGATGTCTGAACAATACAAACTTTAACTGCACTGTATGAAATTACTTCACCATCTTCAGTCTGAAGTGATTTTAAATGCTGGTTGTGTGGTTTTTTTCAGAACTGGCTAGATTCTTCAAAGGAAATTAAGAGACAAATTCGAAGTAAGTACTTCTGTATCCAGATGTTACGCTCCTTTTATTTCCTCACAGAAATATTCTTCATAAACTTAGTAGCCTGGATATTGACTAAAATGTATCCTTACAGCATTCAAACAATTTACATCTGATAGCCATGTATTCAGCCTTAGAACAGAAAGCAAAGCTTCTATTTCTGTCCACTGTCCAAGGAGAGAAAGAATCACTCAGCCTTGTGCTGTAGAAGTTAACCATTATACTGGCTGCTGCCCCCAAATATTCCTGTATTGTATGTGACTAATAGTTGATCTTTTTGCATCCTGAAACAGTAGATGGTTTTCAACATTGTGCTGATATTTGGGTTATGGGATGGAGAATGTCATCTTGCAAAGACGGTCATGGTTGCTGCTATAGGACTTTCTAACTCCAACGACTCACCAGAAGAATATGAAACTATAAAAAGAGAATCAATACGTCTTACAGAAAATGTATATTCTTCAATACTGGTCAGTCCAGCATTGGCTTTTTTGATATGTCCATCATTTCCAGAATGGAAATGGAGTAGAGCATAATCTTGGTATGTCTCGCTACAGTGCTTTTCAGACTCAATTCATGTGAAAAGTCTTTCTACTTCCTATCCTCAATACACAATGAGGAATTTATTTTACTCTGCATAAAACTCTGTCAAAACTCTTCACTAGCCAGGTAGATTTTATAAAGCTCTTTATAAAACATATTTTAAGGGGATGTGATTTTTCATATAACATGAAGATCTACATTTTAAGTGGAGATCAAGTCCAGTTTCTTGAATTAGGCATCATGACTGGAATTTTTTTTCTCTGGTCCATAGCACTTCCGAGTTGATAGGCATAGTGTATAAGGCAAACAACCAAGTAAGAACACCATTGTAAGCATTTTAAAATGAAACTTGCTTACACCAATTCGTAAGTAATCAGCATACTATCAGTTGTGTTCCTCATAATCAGTGGATTAAAGTTTCCACATATTGGAATGTACTGCAAAGATAAATTTTATCCCCCAGCTACATGAGTATCAAGTAACAAGACCTTTTTTTTTGTTTCGGGTTTAGTTCTAAATATATTTGTCTTTGAATCAAGAATGGAAAACTTATGTACAAAAATACTCAATTATAATAAATTTAAGGTACCTGTAAAACCTACTAGTCCATTTGAAATGAAGAAACTCATTTCTTTTTCTCTTGTACAGCACAAACTGAAGCACTAGCATGCTAGATAAGCATATCTGGACAAACACATTGATCTGAACACACAAAGGTGACAAATTTGGAAGTGGAGCTCAGCACATCAGTTTGCAACTTAATATTTATAACAATCTTTGTCTCTCTCTTACATGTGAACAATACCAATACTCGGCACATTGGGCATGTATGTACCACCTGTGACTGGGGAAGACAAAATAAGAATCCTTTAATCTCCCCCAAATAATGTTCTGCATCAGGCTGTCTCTTGCTAAGCCAGGGTCCTCAGGCCTTTTATGTGATCTCTTATTTGTTCAGGTTGGCCTTTGGCTGGGCAATAATGTTGGATCTCAGCAATTACTGATGTTACTTAGGCTAATGAATGTGATCCACAAATTACTAGCTCTGTTCTCAGGGCTACAAAGGTGGCAAAAAGCTTGTTTGCTTTTAGCCAGCCTGATCTCTTCAGGAAAATTAATTCTTGACTTTTTTTAACTCATGTAATTGGGTATCCACTGGCATGTGTTAAAACCTCTAATTAATTTAATCAGGGACAGGTGGGGTAATTACAATTCTGTCACAGTCTTCTTGAAAATTGCTACATCTAAAGTGGATTCAGGCTTTTGCAAAATGGAGGACTTCAGCTTGAATATTGTGATGCTACAGGCAGTAGCAACTGATCTTGGAATAGTCAAATTGAGATTTTGCAGAGGGTAGGGAGGTTCACCCTTATATAAAATTTAATTTGAGAATTTATCTGTGTGAGATGTACATGCAGTTAGTATAGAACACATGATATTCCACTCAGTTTTGTTTATAGGTATTTTCATAACTCTCCTTCTCAGTATAACAAAATTGAATGAGTAAACTATATAAACCTTGTTTAATCATAGTGTTTATTGCAATTGAAGATCAAGCATTTGTCCGCAGTTTAAATTTTTACAGCTATGGGTAAAGATTAGAGATGTGAATGTTTAAACCATCTGTCTTGGTAAGCCTGATTATTTGTTTTTATTGTTTGTGTAATTAAAGTATATGAAACTGAGTTATAGACCTGGTTATCTTTCTCTTCACACAAATTTTGAAACTATTTTTGGGATATATCCTGTTCTTAGTGTGCATGTAAGTCATTCTCTTCCAAAATGAAATTACATTTGTATGCTGTGTGGAACAGTTTAAATCCAAGGTAATGTTATGTCAATTAAATCTATTTCTAGTCTGCAGCACAATTAGCGTTTTTACGGGAAAAAACCCCTTCCATATTGCATATCCTGTATTGTATATCTTGTAAGAAACGGAGAGGAGTTGGATGTTCTGAGGGCAGAATACACTGGTATAGGGCGGTTTTATGCAATCTCACCACATAAAGGATACATTTAACTGGTTTTGCTCTTGAAATTAACTGTAAAATTGTCTTACTGTCTTTTGTCAAGAGAATACTTATTTAGCCAGAAAGATTGTAGAAACTCATCACTGTACCCAGGAAATGACTAATCTGATCTAATTTAGGTTAACTGTGTCCACCTCAGGTAAATGCACTTGTTTTTGAAGGAACAGGCACTTTCAGGAGGTGAGTGAGTGCATTCTGAAATAGGTGCCTGAGAGGGGAACCAAACCACACGCCACTTTTCTTCCGTTAGCTATGAAGGGAGTCAGTGGTGTCTTATGTATATAATTGCATCTCAGCAGTGTAGGGCTGAACGAAACTAGTGTCAAAAGAGAATGCTTATGGGGATAGAAAAGTTGTTTTCTTTTTAGAAAGGAGTGATTAACTGAAGGACTGAAGACAGCATACTTAATTTGCTTGTTGATTCAGTTTGTTGTTTCATTCAGTTTAATTATTGAGGAGGGTGAGGGAAATCCTCTGTAATTCTATGGAAGTGGATTAGGACAGATTAAATAGTACAATAGATAAGGCAGCTGGGTGACAAATCTTGGGCTATAAGTTTAAATCTTTCTCTTTATTCATGCTGAAGATTGTTCTCAACATCCTTTTGTTAATGGGCATCCAGTCATTCAGATTGGGGAACTTAAAACCAGCCAAATCCAATACTGGCCTAGTCTTTCAGATGTACTTAGCCAACAATTAAGGTAGTTCTGGGAATGTCATGGATTTGAAATGGATTTTTTAACATTCTTGTTTCTATAGTATATTCTGCAACACAGCTTAAACAACTGCTCAGGGAAGAGGATAATATAGAAGAATAAAGATATGGTTAAATAGGTATATTTTTAAATTACACAGTAGACCAAATGGTGATAAATTCATAAATACAATTCTGTGAGAATAACATTATCACAAGTTTAGAATTTTGCAGCACAGTGTTCTAAAATACTTAAGAAATCTAAAGTTTGTATTTAAAGTGCTAAGGGAAGTTAGAATTAATTAAGGAAAGGTCTTGCATTTTAAAGATATAGTTCTGGCTGTCTGATTTTAATGCTAACAAAACGTATGGTTATGCTCAGGCATCACTTTATTTTATATCCATCTATTTTATGTAAATAACTATATATCTGTAGAAGTTGTAGCTAATTTTTATCTAAGCTAATTACACTAGAGTCCAGCTTATAGGTGGTGAAGACAACTAAGTACCTGTGCCAAGGCAAGAGCTGTCCTGCAGAAGTGCTTCTGTGTGTCTGCTAATTATAAAGAAAGGTTTTGCTGTTTGGAGATGTCTGAGTTTGTGAGCTGAATCTCATCAGTCCAACCAGGACTGTCTGTACTCTGCTTTCTATGCATCTTTGAAAATGTGGACTAGCTGTAGATCTTCCTAATTTCTTTTATTTTCTTGACAGTAATTTAAGAAAAATTATAGAAGTAATTTTCTTAATTTTATGGGGCATTTGTACATCTGCCTGTGAGTAGTGTATCTGTCTTAGTCACACAGTACCGTAAAAATCTTAGCTGAGACACAAGAGATATCATAAGTAAAAGCCAGAAGAAGCTTTTACTGGAAAAAAACCCTCACTGATTTCCCAGTTTAAATGGGATGAATCATGTTAATTGTATGCTGCTAGCTGGTTGGTTATATTGCATTCTTTTTCTCTAAGAATGTGCCTAAAGTTGCCACAGAAGCATTTTTGAGGTAACGAGCTGGCTAGAAATATTTTTGACATTTCTATAGCCCATATTATTAAACATCAAAACAGAGAGCCTTATCAGGGGCAGAATGCTAAATAGTATTTTAAATATCAGATTTATTTATTTTTTTGTCTTGGCCACCAATTGAAAGCGGCAGTAATAGTGTGCATTATTGTTTGAAGACAATTATGTTTGTATGCCTTGGTTATGCGGCTATAAACAGTATGCTGTAGTGAGAAGTACAAATATAGACTGTGCACATTGTAATACACTTGCTAGTCTATATTCAGGGGATAAATGTGCTTTCAGTAATCAGGCAAAATATAAAGTCATGAACTGTCCAGAAAATATTTAGTACAAAGTCAACTACAACATTTTTTCAATGGATTAGCTATGGTATTAGTATGAGTAGACATCTGAAATTTTTCATAGTCTATACATTCAAAGGATTTATGCTCTTTTTAGCTTTTTAAAGAGAATGTAGATGATTTTTTTTTTCCCCTTCTTCAAACAGTGTCTAGCTCTCCTGGCTACAGTGCTTTCTGAAAGCTAACTGTAGAAATGCTGACAAGAAAGAGAAATAGGTTAAGCAGGAATTAATCTGTGACTAGTTTAACTGCAATTTTAGATGAGGAAAAATTGCCTTATTCCAGGAAAACTGGAAGACTGGTTTAGTACCTATGTGGAAGGACACATCCTTCATCCATTTCTCCCCATCCCACAGCCCTGTTAACATGACAACTCTCCCTGAACACTTTCTGCATAGATATTTTTGGCCCAATTGCTTCTCTTCATCAGTTTGGCTTACTCAATATCAGCAGCTTTTCTTTAAATGATCCTAATTCCCTGAGAGACAAATGATGGAAGTGGGCTAATCTATTCCAGCTTTAATTCTGTTTTGTCATGCTATATGTATTAATTAGTGTTAGACATTTTTTTAAAGGTATTTTTGTCTTAATTTTCTCTTGCACTGGATTGCAGTAGATGATGCAATGAGCCATATTTTACCAATTCAGTACTACATGTATCTCCAATAAATTTGGCTTTCTCATTTAAAGAGTCCTGCCTTATTTTGTAAGCAAAGTTATTATTGTTCTAACAAATAATTGATAACTGGGAACATTAAGATACACCAAAATTCTGAGCTCTCAAAAGGAAATAATGACTTAGCAGCAAGGTGGAGAATGAAGTTCACATTTAAGCAGAAATTTAAGTGCTCCAATGAATAGTCATGTCTGAAAAACTGAAATAATTGAAAAATAACAATAAAAAAAATAATAATTGAAAAAATAATAATTGAAATGTTGAAAGACATAAGAAATTTTGGCACAAAGTACCTCTTCACCTTTAACAGCTGTGAAATTTCAAAACACGATTTTTTAAAGAAAATAATCTTAAAAATGTCAGCACTCTTTTCTAGCATTATGTTGGAAATGGCATTTCAGTCTTATTTTTAATAACAACAACAAAAAAACATTTTTTCAAAGCATGATTTCAGATTTTTAAAATAGTTTACTGTCCAAAATTAATCATTAACAAGCTTTATAAAATTATTACCTTTTTTTAACCAAAGATTAGTTTTTCTAGGTCTTTTGCCAGAATATTATTTGCATTAGGAGAAAAGGGGCGAGAGAAAGATAAAAATGGCTACTTAATTGTTTCAGTAATATTTTGATTTCTTTTCTTATCTTTCTTCATTATTTTTAGCAGATCTACATTGTAGTTTTACTTTCTTTATGTTTCCAAGATATGATAAATCTCAACTGCATTTGCTTTCAAGCAGCATGCAAAACCAAACTATTAAATTCTTTTCCTAGACTCCTATTTCGTGATTTTCTAGTACATATATATGTTTGCATTGTACTTAATAAAATCTGTTTGAATAGGAAAGTTCTACATTTTGTCAAGTTATTAGTACTTTCCAATGAACGTATTCCTCTTGTACATAGTGTTATAATACTGGTAGAGTAACATTCTGAGAATGTATTTTAATTATTGATGAGTGACTTCAGCTTTCAAATCCTAAAAATTTATTTAAAATTAGAGCTACGACTAAAGGCAACATTTTATGCTTTGTCAAATTATTAATCTAGTTTTAAGCATGCTTTTGCTTAAAAAATGCATGTGGTATTAACAATTCTAACATGAGAATTTAAACTTAAAATATCATTGCTATTATAGTTGCTAAAGATATTGTTTCTCAAAAAATATTTTAAAGGAGGAATGGCTAATATTTTTTCTTCAATGCATTCTGTACGAATATGAATAATTTACTTATCTTTCTGTTTTATACAACGCAGACCTCATTTTGACATCTCATGTTCATAGTTGCTGTACAGTCTCTCAAACAGTCAGTTTAAACAGGAGGAAACTGTTAGCCTTGGAGGAGTTGGAAACAAACACAAATTCAGTGCAAGTGTCTTTGAACACAGAATACCTTAAAAGTGTTAATATATTATGGTAGTTTTCAAATTAAAAATGTCTTCTGATCTTTATATAACTTACAGCAAAACATTCTTTGAAAATAATTTTTAACATGCTAATCTTTCACTGTATGTGTATATGAGTTACTACCTGATAAAAAAAATAATCTATGCTTCATACTAATATACTGTAAAAAAGGGAAAAAACTCTTCTCATGATTGCAGTGATCTAACATTTATATGACTGCCTAACATTTTTCAGTGAGGTTCTTTCTTTGCTTGCCTCAACTTGTTTAAGATTAACAATTGGACATTTCCCATGTTTAGGTTTACCTTGGATATTCGCCTTTAATGTGAAGTTTTATCCCCCTGATCCTTCACAGTTGACTGAAGACATCACTAGGTATGCATAGTTCCTAATTTTAAACTTAAAAATTACTGTTAGTCTAATTTGAAGGCCATATACAATTTTTCAGTTTCTGGATGCTGTAACAGGTTTGGCTATTACTGTAGAACGCTATAAATGTTCTTACATCAACTGCTTTTTGGAACAAGGTTGAAAAGGCAAAGTGAAAACTTCAGGAAGACACCTGAGAGAGAAGAATTTAATGATAAGTGGGGATATGATTTAGGCGGGAGGCAAGATGCCAGTGATCATATTTGAAAGAAGCCAGCGGTTTATTGTCAGGCTGCTGCTTTATTATATAATAACTGAAGGTGTGGGTGTATTAATATTAAGAGCAAAGCTCAAGGCATCCAAGATACTTCAGTAATAATCTAGGCTAGGTTGGTGAAAACATAGTTTTATACATATCCATTAAATAAAACCATAAAACATCATAAAACCTGAAAATACTTCTCTTCTAAAGTTCTTAGACAGAAAATACTTGGAAAGCAGTGGATTCTAGGCACCTAAAAAGTAGCACTGCAAGACTAAAATAACCAGTGGGTAGAGTGCAAGGAATTGACACTCATTTTTTCAGGAGTTATGGAAAACCTGAACGCTTAGTTTTGTTTTGGAGTTAGCTGACTCTGCTGAGGCAGGATATATGTTACTACACATCGCATCAGATGAGTCTTCTGCACAAAATAAGAGTGTTACACAAGTGTGTAGCTGATATATTACTAGAAATAGTCTAAGACATGTAGTACGCAGTGTATTTAAAAGAAGCCGTCTGTGTTTTGTTTGAAAATTTTCAGCAAGCTTGTTGACTTTTCAACTGTGTGTTCAACTGATAAAAGCATTTTTTATACTTATAGCTTAAAGCTAAATTCCTTAAAATTTAAGCTTCACTTGTAAAACTTTTTTTTTATTTGCATTAAAAGTCTGTCCTAGGGTAGGATGTCTACCGATTGTTAACTTGTTAAATTTGGTAGAAGACTGTATGCAGTACCTGAAGTATTAAATTCTAATACATACATGGTTTAAGGCAGGCAATTATGGGTTCAGTACTAAACCGGATTTCGTGTATTACATAACTTGATTAGCTCATGAACTGCAAGGGATATAAAAGTTAGAATTTTAAAGCCAAAGGGAAATGTCAAAGGAAATGCATGGGGTTTTATTTGTAAACCTTAGATACCTGCAGGCTACAATGTGAAATGAAGTCAGCTTTTGTTACAAACTAGATACAGTTTTTCATTCATTTATGTTGGAAATCAGAATTTTTCCTGCTCTTCACCTTATTTATGAAAGTAATATCGACTCTTACAAATGGAAGTGAAATTTACTGTGTAGCAATAATGCTCAAATAACGTAAGGTGTAAAAAATTATTAATGCATTGACTTATTTTAAAATATCCTTGTATGATTACATGCATCTTGATAAATTCTGCCATATCTCTCATAAATTTGCCATTGGTAACACTTTCTCTGTTCTTGTGTGTGTGTGTTTGTTTTTTCCCCCCTTTTCTTTGTCTTGCAGATATTTCTTGTGCCTACAGCTTCGTCAGGATATTGCTTCTGGTCGACTGCCATGTTCTTTTGTGACTCACGCCCTCCTTGGTTCATATACCCTGCAGGCTGAGCTGGGTGATCATGACCCAGAGGAGCACCGCAGCGACTATATCAGTGAATTCCAGTTTGCACCCAATCAAACTCAAGAAATGGAAGAGAAAGTAGCTGAGCTACACAAAACACACAGGTGTGTCAGATACAGTGGGATTAAAGGAAATCATCACGCTTTGTCATGTTTATGTCAATTCTCTTAAAAGTCTGTATAAAACTGCGAAGCTGAAGTTATTGTTAATTTGGAAATCATTTGTTATGTAACTAGAACCTCTTCCTATCATGTATTTAAAAATTTCAGTTTGAAAATAGTAGCTTCACTAATATCTCTGAAGAGAACTTTTGGAGAAAATTTTTATCTGAGCATATGAATTACTTTAAGCAACATGCAGCTAGACTATTTTGAAAGAGTGAAGGTGGAAATCTCTACTAAAGGAATATAATATGCTCTGAAAGAACACTTTCCCTTTAGGGCAAAAATGCTATTGATACCTTACAAACTTAGTTTTTTCTGTGTCTGAATTCCAGGATTCCACTCAGTTTTGATTCTCGCTTCTTTTGTCAATAAACTCAAGGCTTATTCAATGATTTTAGGGGCTTGACTCCAGCACAGGCGGATTCCCAGTTCCTAGAAAATGCGAAGAGACTCTCCATGTATGGAGTGGATTTACATCATGCTAAGGTATTGGGGAATTGGATTGGATTGGTTTGGTTTGGTTTGGTTTTAGGATAGACATGCTTAGTACTAAAGAACATAGTGTATATATAGCTTATTTAAAAAATTTCATACCTCAGTTCTTAGGTATAAGCCTTTTATCTCTTGGTCTTGATAACTACTCAGTTTACAGCTCTAACATCCTTAGAATTTATTTTAAATCTAAGTTTATTTTATGCATAGGTGTATGTGCAACTTAGAAATAATATTTTATTCATAAGAGTGGCTAAATACCTTTTAAAATGTCAGATTTTTGATGCCAAGGAGACATGGGGCCATAAAGTAAAGCCTAAAAGAAGATGTAATTGTTTTAGTAATACAATGAAAGTTAAAAACAGAGGGGGAGGAGGTCTTGTGGGAGGGTGGGTTTTGGTGCTTTTTCCACTCCTCTGGGTAGGTCAAATAAAATTTGCATTTCTAGGGGGATTTTTTTTAGTTACCCTCCTCCCCCCAACCAGCTAACTAACCCCCTCTCACTACCTAGCACAAATCCAGTCTCAAAACATTAGGAAAATTAATGCATTGTAAACGTATCGGTCCTATATTTAAAAAAGGAAACCAAGACTTTTAAGTACCAGAGAAATATTATTTAATTCTGTTTCATATAGAAACAATGTGCACTTTTTTTGCAATTTTCCATAGACTTCTTCCTATGTTCTGTCAGAAGCACTTGAAAGAAATATACTTATTTTATTCATGTACATTAACTATGTCTGTAACATTTATTAATTTTTTAATACAAGTGCAGTGTGGCAGTTCACTTGGTCTGTAGTGGTTTAAGAAACTTAGATTTTTAGAGTTTTATGGGAACTTTCTTTTCTCATAGTGAAGTAACTGCAAACATTAGAGCTGCTGTTTGCCAGGATTCGCTGTTTACTTATGCCAGTGAAGCAACTTTTTAATGTCAGCATTGGCATTTGATGTAGTTGATTTGTTGTTGAGGAGGACAAGAGATTCTGCTGTATTGTGCAGTGGTACAGCGTATAAAACCCTTACCAGTAAGTGATTAGTTTTGTAGCCTGTAAAACTTGCATCAAACGCTGTCAGTGGAACAGAATGCTCAGAAACCCAGCCCACCAGCACTCTGAAATTATTGTGTTGACATTTTCAGCCAACTATCTGTTACTTCCTATATCTTTACTGGAATAGTAGGTGACTGTAAAAGATGACCATGATCACCAACTTCAGACTTTCACTGACTGTTTTAAGTTGGAAAGGCCTGTTTTAAATTTTTGTTCTTTTAATATTTGTTGAAACTATTGGTAGCACACCCACCATACCTTTCCTTGCTTGTAAGTTGTTGACTTAGTCCCTATTGCTAGAATACTGAAGAATTTCCCAGAACTGTGACATATGCAATGGCATATGAGTGCCAAAGCCATTACTTAGTGTCCAAAGTTTCCTGTAAAATTAATATACTTGGCTATTTCTGCTTTAAGAATCTCATTGTCGGGGTCTTTCAGGTTTGAATATGAAACAAGTCCCAGTTGCATTATTCCCTCAAGGTATGCCAGCAATAATTACTTCTTTGGAATGTTATTAAACTGGTTTTTTTAAAATTGTCTCATATGTGATAGGATTCTGAAGGTGTGGATATCATGCTGGGTGTATGTGCTAATGGACTGCTCATTTACAAAGATAGACTCCGGATCAACCGTTTTGCTTGGCCAAAAATTCTAAAGATTTCCTATAAGCGAAGTAATTTCTACATCAAAGTCAGGCCAGCAGAAGTAAGTAGCACCTTTCTGTCTTGTTTCTTTTCTGAGATCATTTCTATCCAGCAACAAGAAAACATCCTTATTTTTTTCCCAGATGTCCTCACAAGCTTATATTGGGTTCAAGCAAAACTTAACAGCATTTTCTTTTCCTCTTCAGATTCTACTGATTGTATTAAACACTTGTCTTGATTAGTGAATGCAAACCAAGAAGAAAATCTATTTTCTTTTTTGATAGATGCCATCTTGTAACTTATTTTTTTTTACAGGGAAAGCTAGTTACTCTGGCCATGTTCTTACTGTCTATACAAACTTGCAGTCCTGGGAGAGAGCCAGCTTCTCTTCCTCTTTGGATATAATTGTTCACTAAATGTCAACGCATCTAGTTTACGGCTGTAACCGAAGGTTTGAGTTCTCCTGTAGGATGTTATAACTCTTTCTGTTAGCTGCTGTGGAAATACTGGATTCAGCGTTCTTTTCAGATACTGTTATAAGTTTGTGGGAGTTGCTGAAGGAGGGGGAGTTACATTCTGATCACATTGTAACTGGAAATTTAACAAAAACCAAAATGCCAAACACTGTAATGCTTTTTTTAGATTATACTTTTAAATGTTTAAGGTAGCTTTTACTGTGTGAATAAATAAAACAAAACAGAAGTCTAAATACCAATAGTACAATACTAACATTGTAGTTTTGTAAGTTTTGGAACACAGATGTATTGTTCTTGCACTCACTGATGGTGCATAGATGTAATGTTTTTGCTAAGAAACTATTATATAGTGAAACAGATGAGGTAAGCTTAACACTGCAGTATAGATTTCAGACTTTTATTAAATCAAAGGAAAGTGTGCAGCACAACCTGCAGTACAATTACTTCATGCAGTTTAAAAATAAATACATTGGGCAGCTAGTCAGAAAATCAGCAAGGAACACTGAAGTACTATTGGATTTCTCAATAGAGTCATTAGTACAAATAGGAAGTGATAATGTGATTATTACCCATCATGACTAGCCCACCAAGTATAATTTTATTAAAAGGCTAGAAATTCTGATTTTTTTAATTTTTTTTTTTTTTTTTAAAATCTTATGAAGTCTTATGACAGGAGAATTACAGCTTGTTACAGTAATGGAACTATCTGAGCTCTGCCTGTTAGTTAATAGCCAGCTTAGTGAAATGCATTAATTTATTTATGGATTCTTTCCAGCTGGAACAGTTTGAGAGTACTATTGGGTTCAAACTGCCAAACCATCGGGCTGCTAAAAGGTTATGGAAGGTTTGTGTGGAGCATCATACTTTCTTCAGGTAAATGATAATTCTCTGCTTCCCCCACTTTGCTAGGCGTGCTCATATCCTTCTTTTAAAGGATATGAGGAAAATAGAGAAGATTTCCCTCCTCTTTGTCCCCAATTTCTCAGTCCAGTAACACCTCTTAGACAGAAGACACCCTAACAATCACTACCCCAAATTACTAATTCTGAAAGTCTCAAGTACAATTAGCTGCTTTATTTAAACTTTCGGAGTGCTAACAGGATGGAACTAAACTAGTGATCATATGTAAGACTTCCTGAGAGATTGACTCTTCAGAGTGGCCATCTAGAAAGCCATTGTACACCTTCACAAGAAGCTCTTGGGGCTTGACAGTAGTATTCATTCACTTCACTTTTCAGAACATTCTGCTGAGTGTAATGCTTACAGCTGAATTCTTCCTTATTTATAAACTGGCCTGAGTTCACCGTCATTCTTTAAAGAACAGAGAATCACTTTAAAAACAGACTACTATTTATTTATGTAATAATCCATAACTTTCTCTGCATTTTTTTTCCCCAGCAACTGATAAACGTAAAATTCTGAATCGGTCATTGAAACTATAGTCTATTTGTAAATGAGCACTTCAGCAATAGGCCACAGGGTTGTTTCTCTTTCTACTTCCTCCATTGAAAAGGAATTTGAAAAATCTTCATTTGATTTTTATAATAGCAAAAACTCCATGATGGAGTGCATGTGCCCCATGCAGCTTAGGAGTCACAGATTTAGGTTGAATCTCTTATGCATTGAATAGGCATTGAATCTGAGTTTCTTGTTTCAAATGAGCACAGTAACTAGGGTATGTAAAAGGTAAGTTTTCTCCTTCAGTAGTCTGTTTTTTATTTTAAAAAAGCAATTGTGTTTAAGGTAGGTGCAATCCTTTTGCTGAATACTAGTCTAAGCTGAATATACTTGCTAGACTGAGACCTTCAGAGAACTTGGGGACCACGAGACCTAATCAGTTCATTACTGGAACTGTCTCATTGGATGGTTTTCAGTATTCAGATTTTCAATGAATATAGAATGTTCTTGAATGCAATGTTAGAATTTGTGCTAAGATTGGCAATCAGTCTCCAAATGCTTAATGTAGAAGCACTTCTTTTTTAAATCCTAAATTTTTTTCATGTTTGATAGAATTCATTAGTTAAGTTTATTAAGATACGTAGTCCACCATTCTATCCTTCTTTAAAATTTGAAGTCTGCTTTGGCTGGTGATATCTGTTACCACAATATCATGCAGTTCTGTCTGCAATGAAAAGTTAATAAAAAAGAAACATAATAAAATGAACCTGAATAGGGAAAAAAACAAACCTTAGGGAAGTGAAAAATCCTAAACTGAGAACTACCATTTGCAAATAGAAAAGTTTTCAGGAGTGTTAATATGCATTAGATAATCTTACTACAGAAATTCTGACATAATAAAAATAATTGGATTTTATTCCAATCAGAAGTGGCTTTTCCTAACCAGGAATGACATTATAATGAGAATTATGTAACAAATACTTGAACCATTCTGTAAAATCCATATACTCCACTGATGTCATCACAGAGAAAATCCTCAGAACCTCTCATCCTGATTTAAAAATAGTAAAATAAATCCAGCTCTGTTTTTCTCCAATGATAAAAAGCAGAAAGCAATTGCTACAGTCCAAGAGACTGTATGTAGCTCCTTCAGAGCATGTGTAAAATTTGTGTATGATACCACAGTAAATTGTATTCAATCTAGACATACATTTTTAGCTTCCAGATCTCTTAGCATGCCCTATATAACATTGTAAGATTCCTTGTGTTGTCTTTTGCAATGTTTCAGTTTTTCTCAAATAATTACAATAAGGTCCATCTTCTTATAATGTATGGGAAATTCAGCCAGCATATGAAGTTATTTATAAAAATTTGTAATGAACTATATTGAAAATGACAACCAAAAGGCATTGGATTCACTTGTATCAGCTCAACTTTATAGGATTCCAGTACCGTTTTCAAAGTGCAACAATCTACTTTAAGAAATACAGTCAGACTATGTATCTACGTTAATCTTTTGAGGTAACTTAGTCTGCAACTCTGGATCTTATGCAATGGCTGCAGAAACCTGCTTATAATTCTGCTTTATGATGTTTCAGTTGAAATTTTCATGATTGTTTCAGTGCCTCCCCAGAATGTCCTAAAATGGTAGAAGCATAGTCTTCAGTTATTTTATGTAATTAAGCTTGTAATACAAAAAAATCCATTCAAATGCCCTTAATCAGGAAGTAATTAGTTCCCTTGTTTTTTCCACATTAAAAGATTAAAAGTTTATCTCAGCAGGGTGGAAGATAAAAATGGCAGTTAATGCTGTAGCCTTGCCAAGACAGGAAAAATAAAGAACAGAAAGAACCTTGGAAAAACCCTCTTAGCCTTCGTTTTCTTAACGCATAATGCACTCTCTCTTGGAAATAAGGTGGAGAAATAAATTGTCACAAAGATTGCATGTGACATCCCATCTAGTTTAGGAACTGGGAAGTGGGGGCGGGGAATTGCCGCTGGGGGACTGATTGGGTGTCGGTCGGCGGGTGGTGAGCAATTGCCCTGCGCATCATTTGCACATTTCAATCCTTTTATTACTACTGTTGTCATTTTATTAGCGTTATCATTATCATTATTAGTTTCTTCCTTTCTGTTGTATTAAACCGTTCTTATCTCAGCCCAGGAGTTTTACTTCTTTTCCCGATTTTCTCCCCCGTCCCACTGGGGGGGGAGTAAGTGAGCAGCTGTGTGGTGCTTAGTTGCTGGCTGGGGTTAAACCACGATGGGCTGTTTTATAGAAGCAATGAAAGTGGAGCTCCAGATACTTGTGATTTTATCACATAAGTGGCCTTAGTGCAGAAGTGTGGTTTAGTCTGTCTTGAATTCTGTTTTCTTTAAAAATGTGTTGGAACAGATTAGGATTCAGGTGCATGCATATGCATTTTAGGCATGGAGGACTGGATCCTTCTGGCTAGCACTCTGACAAAGCCATAAAGATCCTCTTAGAGAAAGTGGTAACCTTCTACCTAGCTGTATTGGGGTTGTGTGGCAAGATTTTGGTAGTGGGGGGGCTACATGAGTGGCTTCTGTGAGAAGCTGCTAGAAGCTTCCCCTAAGTCCAATAGAGCCAGTGCCAGCCGGCTCCAAGATAGACCCGCTGCTGGCCAAGGCCGGCCCACCAGTGATGGTAGTAGCGCCTCTGAGTTGCAACAGCAAGTGGAGAGAAGAGTGAGAATGTGTGAGAGAAACAAGCCTGCAGACACCAAGGTCGGTGCAGAAGGAGGGGGAGGAGATGCTCCAGGCGCTGGAGGAGAGATTCCCCTGTGGCCCGTGGTGAAGACCATGGTGTGAGGCAGGCTGTCCCCCTGCAGTCCATGGAGGTCCACGGTGGAGCAGGGGAATACCTGAAGGAGGCTGTGACCATGTGGGAAGCCCACGCTGGAGCAGGCTCCTGGCAGGACCTGTGGACCCATGAGGGACCCACGCTGGAGCAGGCTGTGCTTGAAGGACTGCAGCCTGTGGAAGGGACCCATGCTGGAGCAGTTCGTGAAGAACTGCAGCCCATAGGAAGAACCCATGTTGGAGAAGTTTGTGGAGGACTGTCTCCTGTGGGAGGGACCCCACGCTGGAGCAGGGCAAGAGTGAGAAGTCCTTCCCTCGAGGAGGATGAAGCAGCAGAGACAATGTGTGATGGACTGACCCCAACCCCCGTTCCCCGTCCCCCTGCACTGCTGGGGGTGAGGAGGAGGTAGAGAAAATCAGGAGTGAGGTTAAGCCCAGGACGAAGGGTGGGGTGGGGAGAAGGTGTTTTTTTAAGATTTGGTTTTATTTCTCATTACCCTACTCTGATTTGATTGGTAATTAATTAAATTAATTTTTTCCCCAAGTCAAGTCTGTTTTGCCCATGACGGTAATTGGTGAGTGATCCCTACCTATCCTTGTCTTGACCCATGAGCTTTTTGTTTTATTTTTTTCTCTCCTCTGTCCAGGTGAGGAAGGGGAGTTATAGAGTGGCTTCGGTGGGCACCTGGCATCCAGCCAGGGTCAGCCCGCCACACTAGCTCACCATTGGTTTTGCTAAGGATCTGAAAATTCTTCAGTTCTGCTGAAATATATTTAGAATGACTGTCAGTTTTCAGAACCCACCACTGGATACTGTCTTAACATATGCTGGATCGGATTCCACGGACACAGCTATTCCCTGTGCAAATGCTTCAAACAAGGAGAAAAAAGTCAGCATACTTTTAAGTCTCGCTCGCCCATCTGTGCCATCCTAAGTACAAAGGGCACAGTAGTTGCTGATTCTGCTTGAAAGAAGCTGATGTGCAGTGAGCTTCTCATTCTTTGCAGATCCTCAAATCAAAAAGCTCCATCTGGAATAGTCTGTTGGTTTTATACAGAGGGAGAATAGGCCATGGAGACTGCCATGCTGGGTAAGCATGTATTTGCAGCACTATGTTGATCCAGGAAGCAACATCAAAGATCTTTCTAGGGAAGTGGAGTCTGAGAAGAGTTCCTGCAGTGATGACTGTTTATCCTATCGGCAAAGATGACACTGGAACAAACAATACCCTCAGTGTTGAAGCCGATGGCTCAGATTTCAAAAACAAAGTACAAGCAATGACGGTCAGATGAATAAGAGCTTGAAGTCCTCATACTGAAGGAAATTTAGGGAGGTATAGAGGACCTGTCTCTTCAAACCCATGTGATGTCAAAAACTGGTGGAACAAAGTAGAATCCCTCACAGCAAATTCTGCCACGTTGTTACCTGGACTTTCTGACATTGACTCTAACACTTAGGTACAAACATACATACCCAGCACAGAACCCAGTATTAATAGCACTCGTAACTGAATATCTTTTTCACCCTTTTCATTATATTCTTTTTTTCCCCTCCTTATATCCAGCAAACATCAACTTATAAAAATCTATATATGACATTGTAAAGAAACTGGAGTCTGAATATAGCTTGTTAAACTTCTTACTGTTAGGTCACAACTCTCCAGCCCAATCAATCTTTTTTTCACTTGATACAGCTTTCTGCGTAGAAGGCAGTGATGCCATTCCCTAACTTTTAAGAATAGTAGCTGCTGTATTGGTATCTTGGAACATAGGAAGGACAGTGGAAGTGGGATGTATAGTTTCCACTATCAGTAACATTCTAAGGAAAGAGATCTGATAGGTATTCTACATGAACCTATAATGGCCTTGGCTTTCTACAAAAAATGCAATTTAACCAAGATAGCACCAAAAGATAAGGATCCCAGATGCTTAGTCATACTGTGGAAAAAGTGATGGTTATCAGCATCACTTCAACTCCAACTCTAAATAATAAGTAATATGCATTGTTTTAGAAGTTTTTCTCAGAGCTTATGATAGAATCCTTTCTTGGAGTGCACAAATCATGCATGGTGAACTGAAGTTGAAATATAATAAGTAGCTTTATAGTACCTCATTAAATACATAAAATAAAGCCTTTTTAACTGACTTTCTTCGTATTTACTTTTTAGACTTGTATCACCAGAACAGCCTCCAAAAGCAAAGTTTCTAACCTTGGGTTCCAAGTTCCGCTACAGTGGACGTACGCAAGCACAGACACGACAGGCTAGCAACCTCATAGACAGACCAGCTCCATACTTTGAACGCACTTCAAGCAAACGTGTTTCCAGAAGCCTTGATGGAGGTACGAAATTTGACTTATTTCTTCAGTGTAATGATTACATTATGTGTTGTCACGCCGATCTGACCAACATTCAAAAATGTTGACATTGTGGATGGCCAGAATGTCAACTGACAAATTTATGGATTTCAGTTTCTGATGGGTGATGTGAGGAATAGCCACTTCGGTTACTTGTCGATTTTAGGTGACCTAAACAGTAAGTTAAGTCACTGCCTACATCGTATGGCACTGCTGTGAATATATGCTGTTGATTAGAATTGTTTGGTCAGCAGCATCTTTTGGGCTGTGGGTTGGCCTGAGTGTTTCTCTCTACACCAAAGAGAAAAGGCAGAACAAGTTGTTTCTTCTAGTTTTGTATCATTTTGTTCAGTATACTGCTATCCTATTATATTTATTAGGTACTTCTGCGTTTAGTTAACAATTTTTATGTTGAGGTTGTTTGAATAGCTAAAAATTTTTTTTGTCATTTACTGGTGTTTAGTATCTGAGCAGAAATATCTTCTGGTTTCCTTTATTGAAAACAGGTATGCTTTCCAAAGGCAGGTATAGCAGCAGTATGTGTGAGAGATGCAGAAGTATATGTTTTACTCTAAATCACTTCTGAAATAATACAGAGTAGAAAAATTCTTCAGAAAAAATGACATGAAGCTTGACTTAGATTCAGGCATACACAACTTCACTGGAATAAAAATGAACTGTGACAATGATGTGAGTTTAGCCACAATTCAGCTGTTAACTTTACCTTATTTTCTCCAAAAATCTTTTACTTAGAAGACTTACTTCTGCAAATAGTCATTCTTCTATACTGGGACAAATAAGCAAACTGTGACACTTGATTGGGAAACCTTACCTTCTGAGAACCAAAGCAAAAATAAGAGGCAAAAGTGCTTTCACTGCTATGAGTCTTTGTGGCAACCAAAAGACTCATTGCCACATTAGTGTTACTGTCTGAGTCTGGTTTAGTTCCTGTACTACTTTTGGTTAGAAACAATTTGAATTCTTCCCAACTCTCCGAGATTGTATCATCAAGCCTTTCTGGGATCCCTTGCGCATCATCTGCAGAACACAGATGTGTATGTATGTGTGTTCAGGCCCAAACTTTCAGTCTTACAGAACCATCACAGTCAAAATTTTGAGCATGATTAAACATTGCTCTTGGGTTTTCCTTTTAAAAAAAGAAAAAAAAAATCCATCCTGCTCATAAATCCTATTATGCTTAATCAAATAAGAGAAAAAAACTAATTTAAGGCCTTTCACTCTCTTGTGCTTTAACTATATTCAAGCATACATATTCAGTATTTCCCCCTTCCATTTTTTGCAAGCATAAGGGAGGAAAAGTCTTACTTTCACTGAGCTGTTGTTTCTGCAGTTTTGCTAAGTTTCCAGGATAAAAATACTGTGACAGTTATATGCATAGCTATTTCTTTATTGCATTAAAACAGTCCTCTCAAAATAGTGAATTTTCACAAGACACTGTTGCTTATTTCTCTCTTCTGTTATGGTGATTTACACAGTCACAAGAACAGTACCTTGAATTTGTCTTCCAAGACTAATCAAAAAATTGATAAATACCTACCTGATACTGTGAGGTTTTTTTACCTTGCATAGTAAGTGCACATTATGTAACAAGGGTACGTTGCTGTTCATATCAGTGCAATGAGAACCATAGACTTTTTGCAAAGCCAAGAAGCTGAAAAATATTGTATCATGCAGTAACTAGCCTGTATTGCTCATTGCTGACATCACCATAAAATCATTTTGTTAAGAAGTCTTAAAAACAAAATGTTCCAACTTACCCCACTTAACCAAAATTTTGTTCTCTAATAGCTCCCATGGGTATCTCAGACCAAGGTCTGCTAAGAGACTTCCCTGCTACTGGAGGGCAGGCTGCTGGAGATAAAATCATTGACATTGAAGCTGCTGGTCAGGCCAAGTTGAAAGAAGGTGGCAGAGAAGAAGATGGAAGCCCAGTCAAAACTCCACAATTAGAATTGACTCAGGATGGAAAGGTATGGCTGACTTTCACACCAAAATTATTTGTTCATGTGGTGTGTGTTCATATGTCGTTATCTAGTGCCTGTCACTTCTGAGCGTCATAGAGAACACCATATTAAAATACTAAAGAAAAGCTGTCAAGTGCTTTCTGTAGGTTTAACTTAATGTAAACATACGTAAGCAAAAGAAAATACAAACTTCTGAATGGCATTGACCTAGGGTTTCTTTTATTGCTATAAATTTAATGTGAATTCTCAGTAAGTTTGCATGAGTTCTTGAAAAAAATGTTTCAAAGTATAATGTTTTATTCATTTCCTTAGTTTTAGACTTCAAAAAAAAAATTGTTAGTATATCCACAGTTCTGTACATTCTACAGAGCTGGGTGTATTATGACTGTGTTTAATTACCATAGGTAACAGTATTGTTTTAGTAGCCATTGCAGAATTATTTCACACTTTAAAAACTTTTATGTTGACTGAGGTGTAGATTTCTGTGAAAAGTTGAGTACTTTCATCTGTTCCTGTTGCAAACAACTATTTACTTGTCTTGTTTGTTTGAGCTACTGGGGGAATAGGTCAAAAAATTAGATTTAGATCTTGTATGATTGATGTAAAAATTTCCTTCCAAAGTGTCAGCTAAAATCTGCTCTTCTCTCTTGAAGATCGTTTCTTTTTTGGGCAGTTCTCCAGAACTTTCTTTCATATTTAAAGAGTAATTTTGTCTTCAAACATTTTTGCAAGTTAGCTACCCATTTGATTCCTAGGGGGACTGCTGAGTTTCTCTGTGTGGTTCACATGTTCCCGCTGCATTCAAGTATAGGAAGGGAACAAATACGAACAGTTGCATTTTTTTTCTTTGCTGGTAAGTTAAAATAATTTTGAATTAGCCTAGGAAAAAGGCACCCACAGATTTTCTTTATGAGAGAAGAATGGTAAATTACTATGTTTTGACTTTGGGCTTGGTAAAATGGTCATATTCCCTTGTTTTCAAAGTGGCAGTATCTTTCAATATTTTAACCAAGAGAATAAAAAAAAAAAAAGGTAGTATTTTGGAATGTTGTTCCAGGAAGCTGTTCAGTAAGGTTTTGTTACACATGCCAATTCTGTGAACAGCTTTCTTTCCCCCCTAGCCCAGACACTTCTTTTCCTTTCTGACTCTCTTTAATTCTTAGAGGAAATCGTTACAAACCCAAGAATCAAAGTGCCAACTTGTCTTTCCTGTACTGCACTGTCCCCCGACCTTTCTGCCAAAGCTTTGAATGTCTGTCCTCTTCCATCTGTTGTAAGCGACTATTACAGTTCAAAAGTGCACAGCTTTTTACAGCCTGAGAACAAAACATTCGTAATCGGTTCCTTTCATAATCCAGAGAAGTAAACAAGTTGGCTGCTTGTAAAACACAAGGGGATTTCTATTTTTATTTGGCATTTCTATTGCGTTAGTAGAGCTATCCCTGCTTCTAAGTAAAATTTTTCACTGACTAATAATTTCTTTTTTTTCTCTCTTCTTGTGCCTTCAAACTTGCATTTTTTTGTGCTTTCATTTTCCACTGTGCACAGAATTTTTTTCTTCAGCTCACTCACGTACACCCATCATCACTACCCGTCCATTCTGTGTCATCCCATCTCACAAACCTGTCACCTGTCCCTGAGATGGACATGCTTTCAGATATTTCAGAGGAAGATCCCTTTGGAGAGCCCCTCCTTACCATCCCAGACATCTCAGAGTCCAATTCCATGAAAGAAACACCAGATCACAGAAAAAATGAAATAGCTTTACCAAATAATACCTTTGAATCTATGAGACCCCTAGCTAGTCGAGGCTCCCTTGCTGTGGAGGGAAAAATCCATACAAATGACTACAAAAGCACTGAGTTGTGTGTCTCGTTCAGCTTTATCAGATGCTTTTCTTTTAGTTTCCATTCACTGCTTGATGAGGATGGTTATATTACTTTTCCTAGCCTTCCTGATATTTGCATCTCTTTCCTCCCACCTGGCCTTCAGCACTATATTCCTATTACCTCTCCTTCCTTCATTCCCTCTTTTCTCCTTATCTTTGTGCTGCTGCTGTCTGCTTTCCAGTCTATTCCCTTTTCACTCACACTTTCCCTTCCTCTCGCTCTGTCCCTCTGCTACCTGGAGCCTAAGGTGACTTCCTTTAGTGCCTCTAATGACAATGACCTGAATGACAAAGCAGAGGAAGAGGAGGTGTGTAATCTTGTTGCTTAAATGTTGACACTTGCATATAGCTTTTATGCTTGTTCTCCCAGAGGCTTGCTCAGTTTTGCACACTTCCTGGTATAGGCATATGTCTATGTCCATGCCTGTATATGTATAAATACACACGCACACAGGTGTGTGGGTGTGTATCTGCATCTTTCTAACTTTACTCATTTGTGAAAAATTGCCACTGTGGGATTTTTTAGTCAATAGATAGCTGTTGTTTTTTCTGCCTAAATTTCTACAGCATGCATAATTTCATTAGATTCCACAGACACTGAGCTGCAGATAGAGTTGCTTTGTAGTTCAAAATGTTTATGAGCACATAAGTCTGAATACTGAAAGTGCTGTGTAATAATAAATATATTATTACTTGATACTATTTGCAAGTTGTGTTACTTGCACTATCAGTTTATGTTAAAATGCTTATCTCCTGTGTGCATTGACTGGAATGCACATCTCCAAAGTTCTGTTTAGATCTGAAAAGTGAAATTCCTAAAAACTGAATTCAGAAAACTGTGAATGCTTTAAAATCAGCTTTTTTGTTACTCCAGATTTCAGATGTTTCTGCTCTACAGTGGTGTGTGCAAAGTTGAGTCTGTCCAAGGCACTTTTTTTTTTTTGTAAGTCCTTTGATTAATCTTTAGCAGCAGTTAAGGTGGAGACTGATTTCATTCATTAGCTGGGATTGCAGGTTGTGTCAGACTTGAATCACTGGAGTCTGAACATTCTTTGAAATACACTGTTAAAATTGCCATACAGGAGCCTCAGTCACACTAATAATGTTGCTCTGATCATCTGGAGTGGTTGACAAAATGCCTCCTTTCCTTCTATCTGCTGTGCATGTTACAGCAATACGACTAGAAAAAGGTATTTATTTTGACCTTCACAGGAAATATGAAACTAAATATTGTAGAATCAAAAAGGGGGAGGGCCTGTTCAATGTTATATTTAAAAAAGTTTGTTAAACCAATTAAATCAATACAAGGTACATACTAAAAACATGCTAAATACAACATGATGTCATTAAAAACACTAATTTAAGTATAAAATAATGAAAAACATGTCTTTAAAGACTTTCTCAATTTTTCTGTAACTGGATTCAATCCATCATTTGTAACATAAAGTTGCAGAAAATAGAACCACAGATAAATAAGAAATGAATAAAAATGTGGTATGTACCACATCATGTGTGCATTCACACAGAATCCAAAATGCAACGCTGTACAGTAAGTAAACCCCTCTTCAAATTTATGTACTTGCACAGTGTTGACTTCTAAATGCATCTTTTCCTAAGATTAGCAGGTGATATTTGTACCTGTGGAAAGACTGGAAAGTCGTTTGCTTTGTAAAAAACACTGTTCCTTAACGCATTCAGAATACTCGTAGGTAAGATAAGATTAGGTATCATTTCCAACAGAGTGCATTGCAGTTTGAAGAAGAATATATTCACCTAAAAAGGAGGGAGGTGTGCAAGTAACTCATCCCAAGACAGCAACATTCTTAAAATAATTAAGACAGTTTGTAAATACAGTATTTAGATGTTTGACTTGAATCATAGTTTCTCTTAGCAAAAGAACTCATGCATTAGATTCCATTTTCCCATCAACTTGTTGCAAAGTTTAAGGTGCTTACCATAGATATTACGCACATCATGTTTTTTTCTTTACTCATTCTTAAATTTCCATCTGGGAAAACACTGACAAGTAGAGCAAGAGAGGGACACAGTGTGAAACTTCCATTTTTCATGTCACTTATGCCAAATAACTACTTCAGCCATTCTACGACAATGTAGGTGAAGGAAGACCAAAGTCGCTTAATAATTTCAACATCTGGGGCCGAAACAGTAAAGGTCTGTAAATATAGCACGCTTTGCAGCATTTACAAAGAGATGAAGCCTCTGTGTTAGTCTATAAGCGTATGTTAACAGTTCCTTTTCTTGATAATTTGCCACGTGCTTACATAGGTGGAATCTGAAGAGGAGGAAGCACAGCAGAAGGTGCATGGTTGGTTTTTTTTACAATTAAATCTGGCTGTATCTGCCTGCCTTATTAGCACCCTAAACTTAATGTGAATTTAGTCTGAATTGTGCCTTTTCACCTTACCATTTTATTTCCTTTATTTAACTGTCTGATTCTAAGGGCCTTTTTTATTTACTTGCTGGTACATTTTATGTTTTTTTTTTTTGTTTGTTTGTTTTTTTTTTTTTTGTGTGTGTGTGTGGCTTAACTTCACAGAGCAATTCCTTGAGAGTAGACGGGGAAAATATTTATGTCAGACATAGCAATTTAATGTTGGAGGTTTGTATATAATATAAGAAACACTTTCCCTTCTCACGGGCTGCCAAGCTGCATGGGATGGGAGGTCACTTGCAGGCTGTTACAGACACAGTGCATGAAGTGCATGGGGTAAAAACAGCTTGGAAATGTTGCATGTTATCATTCTAGTTTCTGAGTTTAAATTTAAAAGGAAAAACAACAAAAAACAACAACAACAAAACCCTAACAAATCCAAACAAACAAAAAACCCCCTCAGCTTGAATGTTGAATGTACATTTTATGTATTTTTGCTAGATGTTTTCAAGGTGGCAGCTGGGAATAATAGCCCTATTTAGATAAAGCAAACACATGGGTCCAATTCATAATCCTAAATGGGATTTTTATACATTGCTCCTCAATGTGTGCATCTTCTGTTGAGCATGGTTGCTAGTTTTCACCAGTTTAATCAACCTTTATCAAATACATTGTCTGAATAAATGGAGTTAGTAAGGCACAAGCAGTGGTACAAGTGTGGAAAAACTAATTCTGGTTCTGATGCTCATTGATATGGGGAGCTTTGAGAAATGTATGTGAGGATCAGATTTTTAAAGGGCATGTTTAGATATGCTTCTGAATCTTTGCTTTATTTTTTCACTTTTCAAGTGGAAGTAATTCTTGCTTCCTAAAGGTTGGTTTTCATTGAAGATGAGCAACAGCAAAGAGCTTTGAACAGTATGTTAATGTGTAGTGTTTTGTCACTGAAGTAGAGATTTTTATCATAAGAATTTCCATATAGTCTGTTAATCTGGATTATTTTATCAAAGACTATCTGTAGTTATAATCAGTATCCTTTAACTTGTGGTTAATAACATAAGCTAGTAACTGAAGAAATTTTAGAAAATCCTACTGCTGTCTAATTTTTTTTTCCTTATTATTCATCCAGATGGGGCTATAAATAATTCCCTTTGTCACAAAAACTGTCTTTTAAAAAATCATTGGGTTTGTTCAGTAATAAGGAGATATATGAATCGCAGTAACCCAACTAATATGGTTTTTGGCTTTTTGCAGCTTTTGCTCACTATTGAAACTTTGCTTGTGTATAACTTACTAAAGCACTGGAAGTGCCTTGCATAATTGTGCTTTCATCAAGTCCAAGAAACGTGCCTTGTGTCAAACCAAGACAGGTTTTAAAATGATGACATGATTGTTATGACCTTATTTGTGTAATAGAATGCCTTTGACATAAGGTTTTACTTCACTCAGAAAATACATACTTTAGGGGGACATATTTGATGTCTTGTTTGTTACTCCTAGATTAAAGGTGAAGCATTGGTCCTGTGACAATATGAACCTACTGAGTTGCCAGAAGGGGAGAGGTCTTAGTGTTCAAAGCGCATGTGTGAATATTTGCAGAATTAGGAAATAGAAGTGCAGGACTGAACTGTTATCGGGTCTGAACATGCAAGTGAAAAGGAATTAGAAACTAATGAGTTTGTACTGGATTTGGATTTTTCATGACTTAAGACAAGGTGTCTTTGCAGTGTGAGCACTGACTATAAAAACCCTAACCAAAACGTTAAGTAAAATTTCAGAATGTTCTGTTACAAGGTATATAAAATCTCTTTACAAAAACCCAGATGCTTTGCCTAAATTATTGTATCTGATTACATTCTTTTGATAAAACTTCATTAATAATTATGTCTACATTGATATTATTCCATTTTAATCTTCAGTCTTTTAATTCTGTACTAAAAATGGATCTGAGGCTTAAACTTGAATTTCACCACAGAATACTGAAAAAATATTCTTGTGTTAGAGTGTACATAACCAACATAGGCTTCTCTCAAAACCTGGCATGTTGGAAGGAGGACAAATTATGACAGCAGAGAGAAACCTGCTCTTCCCACCAAAGCCAATCATTGTATTTAAAGGATAATGTATTTCCAAGGTAGCTAAGTAGATAGATTTTTGCCTACTTAACCACAACAGTTACGTTTCTGCATAGCTCCTGATCCTTATGTCTGCTACTGTATCTGGTATAAAGTGAAAGACTATCTTGTAGTTATTTCATCCAAGGTGCTACAGCTTAGCCTCAATGGGTCATCACAAAATCTAACTCAATATTCACACTGTGGTGTCCCCTTTGGCACTTGCCTATGTAGGTGCAATTTAGAGAGAACATCTCTTTGGTACTGATGTGCACAAAAACTATCCCTACTGGAATGCTGTGTCTGCTGTCAGGTTCTTAAATGTGGAATTGGCAGATATCAGGCTTTAAATCTGATTCTTCCAGTAAGTTTAAGCCTACATGACGGGCACAATGAGTAGTCCCTCTGAAGTTAAGCAGGTGATAGTTGCTTGCATATTTGGCCCTGTAGTATTGTCTTCACAGAAGTATTTTTCATGGAGCTTTTATATCAAGAAAGACACATTTTTATAATGCTTCTTGGGTTAGACTATTCTTTCTTACAGCTACCTTCAGTAATGTTAGTTGTGCAATAAATAGCCCAAAACGTTTGCTTCTGTGCTTACCAATTTTAGATGAAAGCAAGCAACTCATCATGGTTTTGATGAAAACAGCCCTCTGTTAAATAACCATGCACAGCATTATTTTTCCTTTGCCTGAAAATATGGAAGAAACAGTGTATGAGTGGCCCTTTGTTACAAAAACAGAACCAAAAAATCTTGGTTCCCTTTAGCCTTGAACTTTTTTATTTTAAGGTACTCCAAAGAAGAATAGCTCTTCAGACACAAGGCACTTTCCTTGGTTTGGTTTCTTTTTTTTTCTTTTCTTTTTTTTTTTTTTTTCCAGTTAAGTTTGCTTTTGTTGTCGTGTTTTGTCCTACTTTGTTTTACATTGCGGGTTGCTAGGACCTGGATAAGACCCAGGACGACTTACTGAAACACCAGGCTAGCATTAGTGAGCTCAAGCGCAATTTCATGGAATCCACACCTGAACCACGCCCAAATGAGTGGGAAAAGCGGCGTATCACACCTCTGTCCCTACAGACACAAGGGGTATGTCACTGCAGACACTTGTCCATATGCGTTTCCATACAACCCTGTATGTAATACAGTAAATGCAGTTTGTCCTTTAGAGTAACACTTTCTTTGGCTAATGTAATATTTGTTTATACTAAGTGTACATTAACTTTTTACCACTTACCATTGGACCTGACTTTCAATAATGTGTAGAATTTTATTCTTCTACAAGAACAACTGAATTAGAATCACTAGAAAAAAATGGAAGTGATGGCAGTATTTTCCTGTGTGTTAAGGACAGCTTAAATTTCATTCTGATTTACACAGATTGATGGAGATAACTTTTCAGTGACAATAGAACTTTTCCCTCCTTTTCCCTCTATAACTCTTCATAGACAGCTTGTGCATAAACACGCACACAGCCTGTGTATTGTTGCAGAAGGACCTTACATGATCAGTTAATTTACAGTGTTGACTTCTTTGGGACGTATTTAATGTAGTTATTAAAATTTGCTCACCTTAATCTCCAAAAGTCTGTATAATGAATTTATCTACTTTTTCTCTATACCTCCTTCCTGACTGAACCTTAAAACAGCAGTTTGGAAAACGATTCTCTACCAACATCATCCTGAAAGCTTGTGGCAAGAAAACTACCCAGATAAATATATCTTGCTGTTGTGAAACTTTTAGTTTTATGGGGTGTTATTTGCTGCTTCTTTCATAAGAGTAGAAGAGCAAATCAGTCTTTGAAAGCAATCAGTTTATCTTCTGTTGTTATCCTTTTCTTTCACCATTGTTCCTACTCTTCCCTCCTAAGTATACTGTTGTCCTATCCCATTCAATTCTTAAGTATTCAGTCCCGAGAGAGGTGAACTTTAAATTAAGCTTGCTCGATGCTACCAAATGATTTTTGTTAATAAGACATTATTTCAATAAGATACTTAAGAAATCTGAACTGTGAGTGTGTGCATACAGATAATACAGTCAGTGACTGTATGGATCACTTCTTTAATGACTATTTTGTTAATTTATGGTTACTGCCAAGAAATGATTCCTCAAGTTTCTGAGTAGTACCTGAATATTTCTACACCTAGTGGTATATGCATAGGTACAAATGCTGGTCAAATTTTCAAATGTCCATGACACATTGGTTCATTTAATAGCTCTAAATATCTTTTTGGTTAAAATAAGACATTTATATAAAAGTGTAACTTAATTTTTGTTATGTGGTTGTGTGTATTTTCTGTGTTGACTTCTTTGTATTGAAGTTGAGGCCCTGCCAAGTTCTTTTATCTCTGTAATTTTTTTTCCTCATCTAGTATGTTCTGTCACTTTAAGATGGTTTGGTTTTATGTTTATGTATAGTGTGTGTCTGTCTTATTGCTTGTTGATTTAAACTGGTTTTATAAAATGAAAACCAAATAGAAGAAAGGAGACCACATTTTCCAAGTGAAAACACTGCCTGGGAAGGAGAAGCAATGGACTGCAATGCCATGGATTGCTGGAGCAAAACCAGAGGAGACCAATAAGGTGGCTGCCCTGAAACCTACTGCCTTTTTGCTGTATCTGCTGTGGGCTAGCTTGGGCACTTCTTTCTCCCCAGCCCCCCCCCCCAATGGAGATAACTTTTTTAAGCCAGTACTGAAAGGAGAAGGTTGAGCTGTAAACCAGGATCCATGTGTGTGTGTGTATATGTGTATATATATTTTTTTTTATATATATATATATATACACACATGAATGCCAGCAACATGCTGCTTAGAGCACCAAACTAGCTATGAAGTTCTGAATGGCTACTGTTTGAAAAGAAAACCAATTTTTCACCAGAAAATTACCGTATTTTATGTGACTAGGATGACAGCAAAACATGTATTTCCATTCTATATGGAAATAATTGTCTGCAGTTATTTGACACTTCACACAAGAACTTTTGCTTTATCTGTTCACTATGTAATCATTATTCAAATCAATAACGCTGTAGAAGCAGCTTCATTTCAAAGGCAACCTGGTTCTGAGTACCTCCACACTTCCATACCTCTCCTTTCATCCAGAGAAAGAGTGAAGTTTTCTCCCCTATAAGCTGATTTAACATCTATGCAGTGAAAAATGCTATATAACCAGTGGGACTACTAGCAGTGTGATAGTGATGATGGGTAGCAATTATGATGTTGCTTTTTTACATCACTTTTGGACTATTTTCCACCACCTAGGAATTGGGACAAAGGTAGGTTAATGTAAAGCTGTCAGTCCTAGTTCAGTAACATATATAAATATGAATATTGGGAAACAGTATATTTCCATCCTAAATTATTTGTTGATGGATAGAAGTTTGTGTTCAAATGTTTTGCTACCCCCAATTTATAAACTTGCTGGTATTAGTAGACTAATACATTGCTCAGTCCTATTCCTGGACTGTATGTTTCCTTGCCTATCTTTTAAGATAGTTGGACAATAGACGAGAATAAAGCAGGGATACCACTGCTAATAGTCTTTCTTTTCTTCTTTCTTTTGCTCCAGTGAAAATACTTGCAAATTGGTCATTTTCTGTGTATGAGAAATGTTATTTTGGGTACATCTTGTTTGTGCCACTATACTTCTGTATGACTGTACTCCCACAAATGCACAGCATCTGTGACTTAATTATAACAGAAATTGTGACACTTTGATATGTATGTCACAAATATGTGAAATGTTGTTATGTTATGGATACCCACAATATTTTTTTTTTTTAATCCATCCCTCCCACTTGTAAACAGTATTTCATGTTAGTGTATATGACTATGTACCAGAAGGAATTTGCCAGGAATTTAAACATCTGTACAGGCTGATACATTATTGTAACTACAGTACTTTGATGAAAAGTGCCAATTCTATACATTTAATCATTTTTACTAAATGCCTCCTGAGGGAACAGGGGTTACGTTATCAAACAAATTGTGTAATTAGAGTTTTACTTCTAAAAGATTAGAAGACCTAAAAATTTGAAGGTGGTAAAATGCAAAAAGATGGGTTGTGTGTGCCTGTCTTTAATTACATACATATGTGGGGAGAGAGGGAAAGAGACAGACACAGTCTGATCACATGCCACATAAAGATGTCCCGTTCCCCCCCCCCCCTTTTTTTTTTACTGCTTTGAGTCGTTAGAAAACATGTGGTACCCGAGTACGGTAGGAGTATCATGAACATTTTTTACTTTTGATGTAATCTATTAATAGATAAACATTTATTGGGCATGGTAAACTAGGGAAAGAAAGTGGGAGCTAGGAACACTTTGCCCGGATGGATATTGAATGTTGCATGAGGGCAGGTTTAATAATTTGCATTCACATTAACTTTTCTTAACCACCTTTGAAATCTACTTAAAAATTCATTGTAGGGAAAAAATATAGGTGTTCTTTTTCTTTTCCTTCTCTGTTCTTCTGCATGCCATATGTGTTGTAGTATATGTACAGTAGCATGGTGTAACTTACGTCAGTTCAGATTCTACACCGCTACTCACAGAGTCCACATGGACTGCAGTTGTCTGCATGGCACCTTGGCTTTCCTCTGGCGTGTGCTTCTGCTGCAATTGTCTGTAGTGCTGTTCTCTAAGACAGAAGTGTATCTTACTGAATGTTGTCAAAATGTGTGTTATGTCCATGTTAGGCATTTGTTAGATTATTGGCTTTTTATTTTAACTGGTTTTACTTCTACCTTAGTACAAGAGCTCATGGAAGGAAAACTGGAATAAAGACTTTTTAGCCTTTTCAGAGGCTTGTACCCACATGAACTTTAAGTTTGCTTTACCGTACAGATTTATCGTACTACAGAAAATAAGCCAGACTATGAACGTAATTTATGCTTTAAAGCAGCACACCCTTTTAACATATGTTTGAATAAAACAAGTTTTCCCGGTAGGATGGGAAAGGCTTTTTGAAAACAGATTCTTTAACAGAAACGAATTTGCTTAGTTTACTTAAGCATTTGCAAAACATGTATGTAACATATAAAGAAAACCTCGTTTCAGCGTTGTGGGTGTGTATTGTTCAAAGCAAACGTATCTGACTGCCCTGAAGCTCTGAGCCAATTAGGCATCAGAAGGTGTTAAAACTGGATTTTTAAAAGGGAAAGATCCCAGGGGGAATCAATACAGAATTACTGCCTAAGCAAACGGTTCTCTTTGGAAAATCCGCGGCAGCGTTAATGTTTTTAACTTTTATAGCGTGATATGCGTGGTGGAGAGATGCAGTATTAGAGCACGAGTGCGTGGCGTGGGGACAGCGGCGTTCTGTCCCGTCTGTCGGCGTGTCGCCTCTCGGCGTCCGTGCGTCCCCCGTCCCTGCTCCTACAGCGTCCTCCCAGCCGAGTCCTGTTCCTCGTCGCGTTTCTCTCTTGCCAGACCTTTCCTTTGTAGGTGGCTGCCGCTCCTCCGTCACTGTTTAATTCTGTCCTTTCCCTTTTCTAACTCGTCTAGAGCCTAGAAGAGGAGATAACGTCCATTTTGTTTAGTAAGGAGGGCTTCCGCGCTGGCACCGGAGGGCCCTTCGCCGCCGCCAGCGTGGGGCCAGCAGAGGGCGCTGCGGGGGAAGAGACCGCCGCCTCGGCCGCGCCGCCGCCCCAGGTGCTCCCCCCCGCCCCGCCGCCGCGCTCCTCCCG